CCAGTTGGTGTCTTCATATCTTTCAGGTGGTCGTGGGTCTCGGGTGCCTTTTCGGATCCCTGAAGTTCCGGTGTCTGCCGGTGGTGGCACAACAACCGATTTCGGAGGCCGAAGAAGAGGAATGTTATTTCTGACGATTGATGCAGGAAGTGGAACGAAGTCGTCGACGCACCTAACGTCTCATGCCGGGGTGAAAGCAGACTGTGGGGTTTGGACATCCAAAGGCGTTCTTCGCTGGCGTATATGATTGGTGTGTCCGCGCACCAAGCCAATTGCTCCACCCGGACCATCCAGGAGCGATGTCCCAGCTGGCGCTCGATTACGCCAGCCATCCAACCTTTTCCACCCAGAAACGTCTTAGCCCAGACTGTCTGTCCTAGCTCCAGCTTACGGGGGTTGGCACTGGTCACGTTGCTTCCGCGGGCTTCCGGGCTGAACGTTCTCAGTCGCTCTACGGCGGACGAAAGTTTTCTTCCAGGTAACAATGCAGGTGTGTTCCTATTTGCTACGTGAATTGTTGTATATGTCATTTCAATAAAGATCGAAAAAGAAAAATCTGTTTCCCTCCTAGCTAGGGCCGTTTTCAGCTCCTGACCTATGCGCTCCTTTTGGCCGTTGGTTGCGGGGTGGTGGAGCGCTTGTGACGGCTATGATACCGTTGTTTCTGTAAGAATGCTTGATTTCCGTGGACACAAACGCTGTGCCGTTGTCCGATACGACCTTTCGCGGCAAGCCGAACGTTACGAAGATGGACCGAAGTTCTCTGATGACGACAGACGGCGTCATGCTGCGCACCACACGCATTTCCAGCCATTTAGTGTATGCATCCACGACAACGGAACACTCGACCGACCACAGGGCCCGCGAGGTCCAGGTGAATCGTGTCCCATGGCTGGGAGGGTCTGTTCCAAACCGGAATGGGTTAATTCGGTGGTGTCTTGCGGTGTTACTATGGCAGACAGAATTCTGCGAAGCAGGACTCTATGTACGCATCGATGTCTGGCCACCAGAGGTAGTTCCGTGCACACAATTTCATTGCGACGGTCCCACGATGTCCTGAGTGAATAGGCGTTAAAACATCCATTTTCAGCTGCGTTGGAATCACAATGTGTGTCGCCCACGTTATGCAATTTCGGTGTGTCGACAATTGGGTTGCCCTTTTAGAGCGCAGCTTTTAGGCGCCCGTTTCCGGCTTGAGCAGCGTCGCCGTCGGCGTAATTGCGGGGACGTTACGCCATGGTGACGTTTCGGCACCGTGCCGAAACGTCTGCGCGGGGTCACGTGACCTCGCTGAGGGGTTCACGAGACCCCCCTGAGGAGGGTCCGGGTTCCCGCCTATCAGGACTCCCCTCAGGGGTTCCTGAGGTCACGTGACCCCGGTGACGTCACCTGACCTCTGTGAGGTCACGAGGGTCACGTGACCTCACGGTTGCGCCGACGCCGCTCGGAGGGCGGGTTAGCAGGCGGGATGGGAAGGTGAGGAGGAGGAAGGAGGGATATACCCACCCTTTAGTACCCTTCCCCCTCCTCCTCAAGAGCTGCGCTCTAATTCGGCGTTACAGAGAGTTGCAAACGGCTTTCATTTTTATATAAGGATCAAACTCTCATGATTGAAACCGATGTAAGGTGCCATTCTGAATGGCTTGGTACACTTCGACCAATACGATGTCCTTCGCTATCGTGTCCGCGACCTGCTCTGCTGACAGCGGAGGTCGTGACAAATAAAGGACTTTTCTCGTCGTAGTGTGGGAGTGCAGTGCATAAAACATTTTTAACGTTTGGAAAACCTTCCGAGGACTTTTTTCCCACCTCCATCCTCTATACTTTTCAAGTAGTTCGTAGAGCTATTTAACGATTGTCGCCCTATCTTTCAAAAATTTGTCGTAAAACGCCTTCTGGCGTTTTACGACACATTTTTGAAAATTGACCATGGCTGCAGCTTGGCACTGTTCTCCAGCTCTGGCGCTTCGACCGCTGCTTGGAGCTTGTCCTCAGTCGGGCGAATTCCTTCTGCGTTGATACGGTGGCCGAGGAATTTCACTTTTTTCACGACGAAACAGCACTTGCTTTGTTTCAGCTTCAACCCTGCATTATCCGGTCGTGAAAACACCTCAACCATCCGACGCGCATGCTCTTCTGAAGTTTGTCCAGTGATGATTATATCATCCAGGTATACGCTAAATATTGCGATGGCTACCAGCGTGGTCTCCGTGACTCGCCGGAAGATTACTGGGGCTGCCGGGATTCCGAAGGTAATCTCTTCACTCGATACAATCCTTTCATTGTGTTAATCGTCGGAATTTCGGCTGTTGCATCTGTTACTCGCAGCTCTTGGTATGCTTGCGGTAGATCAAGTGTCAATAAGGTCATGAGTTCTTGGAGATTCGATAGTGCTTCCGTCGGCGTCGGGAGTGGGTAGGACTACTTTGCTCCGACATTAAGTGCTACGGTAGTCACCGCAGAGCCTCACAGAGCCATCTTTCTCTCTGACGATACGACTATCGTTGCCCATGCTGAGTGTTGAACTGGCTCTATGATGCCTTGTTCCTGTAACGCCAGCAATTCGCATTCAACAACTGGACGCAACGCAAGCGGTACGTACCGGGGGTTCAGAACCTTCGGAGTCGAATGATTCCTTCCTTCAGTTCAAAGTTCACTCGTGGGCCAAAAAATCCTCTTCGTGCGCCTTGAGCACTGTTTTGATCGTTTTGTCTTGTTCAACGTTGTGAACGCCGCTGATTCGAATCTATAGTGCTGGGAACCAGTTGCGCCCTATCAGGTTCCATCCTGTTCCAGTTGCAACCATGAGTGGCAAGACGGAATCCTTGGATTTGTGTCGTACGTGCACTTGCGCCGACCCTAGAACTTGTAATCCTTCACTGGTCCATGTCTGGAGGGTAACGTACTCTTTATGCAATGGAGGTGTCTTGTTCGGCCATGTCCGTCTGTAAGTATCTTGGCTGATGACTGTAAATGTTGCTCCAGAGTTCACCTCGAATTCCAGTGCTCTCCCTTCTATTTTGAGTGCTACCAGAAATTTGAGGACGACGACGCTAGAACGTACAGCGTTCAGTTCCTGCATGTTCAAACCAATCATCGGTGGCTCTAGGACATTTTCGTCTCGGTCGTAGCTCACCAGATTTGTCGAACGTAGTTGAACTGCAGTCCGTGCATTAATTCGGCGCGCTTTTTCAATGTTACCTGTCTTCCTGCAATCGGCACGTTGTCTTGCGGATAGAACACGTCTCTGGGCTATGTTGTTCATCGGAGCGGTAACATCATCGTTGAGGCTGATTCGTGTTGGAGGAAGATGGTTGTTTTGTAGTTCCAAATATGTTGTGGAGACTTGTCTTGGGGAGTTTCAGGTTCTGCTGCTGTTGCACGGCACTCAAGTAGGATGGCAATATTACGCTTGTTTGAAGTTAAGCTTTTGCTCTGCAAAATGGCGTTGTCGGAGGTGGTCATGTTAAACCCCGCATACAAAGCGATCCCGGAGCATCACATCCAACGGTAATATCGTTGAATTCGAAGACGTGTCGGCTAACGTTGTGTCGATGACCCGCCGTATAGCTGACGCTGCTGCCGTCGTCAAGACGCCGAAGTTGAAGTCAGCAGCTATTTTTTTCGGCGCTGAAGCAATCGATTCCCCGGGACGTTGGTAACGCCTCTGAAATTTGCTTTGACAAAAGAGTTTCGATGGTTTTAGGTCATAATGGTCTTTTAGTGTGGACATAATGGCGTCAGAGCTTACTTCCCCCGGCTTACGGGGTGCGACTAGGGTTCGTACCATGTTGTAGGTTTTTTGGCGCTGCATAATGTCAACAGTAATGCCCTCTTCTCTCCGGCGTCTTACACATCGTTCGTGTCTGGAAGTAGAAGTCCAAGCGCTCTGCCCAGGACGACCACTCTGAACCGTCGAACTCTCCAAGGTTGCCTTGTAGAGCTGTCATTGTTGAGACAATCCGAGAATTCCTGTGTGCAGTTCAGGCTGCCCTCATCTCAAATGAGGTAATCAGGAGCCTCATCACCACTAACAAATAAAATAAGTTTACTCCGACTGCCTTATGGCGGCCAGTCCAATTCGTAGTGTGCGCAGGAATGCGCTTCTCCGTGCTGGCACGCGCAGTCCATTGTCCGAAAAAAAGAGGACGAAACCGGTGCTTCTGCTGGTGTAATGCAGGACATAACACATTTCATCTGCTCTCTCTCTTTCTTCGCTCTTTTGTCGCTCTCCTTCTCGTTCTCTTGGGAACCCCGATGTGAGCACCCAGGTTTTGCCGCGTTCTGCTCCTGTCTTTAAACCCCCCCCCCTCCTCCTCCTCCCCGATTCAGTATAACGACACTTTAGCCATCTTGGTTTTTAATATCGTTGTTTACTAGCCATCTCAAGATTTGCATAAAATTGCAAAAAAAAAAGAAAAAAAAAAGAAACCGCTCTTTTGTCTTTTAGGAATGAATAGACAGTCAGCGACAGAGCAAAACGATATCGCCCGTGCTTCCTGATACCGTACACCTCAAGCTGATTAAGCCGCATTTTCAAATCGTATTCATCGCCTGTTCGCCATTGCTCGATCACGCACTCTGAGCGCGTATTGGACACGTAGGGCTACGATAGCGTTCGGCGTGAACTCTGCTCGGCTCGTATTGAAAACAAGAGTTGCGTCAGCGTTCGCCGAGGACTCGGATCCAATCGCGCGCTACGTGTCCAAGGATGGATGGATGGATGGATGGGTGCATGTTCACGGCCTTTGTAACAGGCGGTAGCTTGCACCACCTAGCCAAGCAATGGCGACCGCCAATGTTGCTTGATGAATTTTTGAAAAGGGACGATTGCGCCCGCTCTGCACTGAACACCAAAACTGCAATGCTCGCAAAAAAAAAAAAAAAAAAGAAATCTCTGGAGTGGCGATGTTCGCTTGCACTTCGACGATCGTCGCACTGGAAGGGCGATTCTTTCGTCCCCATCGCTGCCCGATAAATGACGACACAGATGCGGCGCGTCCCAGGAACCATTGTTTTTATTTTTTCGTTGTATGTACACGCAGGCTCTGTTTTGTACACACGTTACTGCGAATGCGCGCGGATCGGTGCTGCATGCCACGGAGTTGAGTCAGATTTGTTTGGCGGTGCACCGCAGCAACTCTCTCGGACGTTTCTTGTCACGTGGGCCTTTCGCGCCACATGCGACATCATTATCGCCGGGCCCGAGCTACGGTTAATCGTTTTTCCCGATACGAAAGCGTGCATCAGTTGCACAGAAATGCAGGGAAAAGTGAATTTGTTCTAGTATAGAACGACCACCAAAATTTCTCACAATATAGGCACGGCATAGGCTATGCACCAGTTTAGCGGCTCACTTGCGGGTTACTGATTTTAGAACCTTCATTTCTCATTGTACGTTCCTTTAATATTATCTACACTTTATTCATAATTAAAAACAAAGTTTCACTACGGCTCTTGGAACCGATGGAGCACATTTTCGTCGTAAAGAGCTTAAAACGTTTTCAGTTCGGCCGCTCATTTTTTTTTATTTGTTTCGTAAAAGGCCGAACAATATTTCGCGCAATCCTCTCGTTCCTTCGGGCACCAAACACGTGAACGTCAGACACTGAGGAGTTTTAGTAGACCGTACGCTAGAGCTTTGCGTTGCAAGCGGGAGCCCGTACGTGCAGTCACTTTGAAGCATGGGTTGAGCGTTCGCTCGCTAGGCCCGCAATATGCAGTCTGTACGGTCTACTAAAACTCCCTTATGATTCTACGTTTCCTCACACGACGCCAGGGTGCCTTTGCACCGTGTCGCTCGATACCGCAACTCCGTGGCATCGCACAACGTAGTCACTTTTCACAAAAAACAAACAAAACAACAACACAAGTTTTACGATTACGACGCAAAGCAGACAGATTCGCTACGCGGAGCAGACGCAATAATCGATGGTCAACCCCCACGTAGAGTAACAACATATCTCTCGCAAATGAACGATGGGTCCGCGCGCCCGGGGCCTCAGGTAGCCCTTGCTCTCTCGCCACAGGCACTGAAGGCGCGAGAACGGCAGGGAGGTTTTTCAGCTATTCCGTCTCCAGCGCGAGCTTTCTGCTTTCGACAGCGCTTGAGCGTCGCGGGGACCTCGAACGTGCACGTGCACAGCCAAAGCACGGCGGAAAGCAGCGAGCGCGCGATGGAGGCCTGGTCCCCTGAAAGAGGCGCCGTGCCATTCTCATTCCTGTCAGTGACTACATAGAAAGCAGGTGATCAGGAACGGTTCGTGCGGAGAGTCCCGTTCCCGCGAGTTGTGATTGCGTGTGTGTGTGTGCCCGTCTGCCACGCACGACAGGTGCGTGTCTACTGGGCATCTTTGGTTTTTTGGTGGCCTTGAACACACCTGTTTTCGGTCGCGGTTCGGACCGCATGGAGTCTCAACCCGGAGGGCCCTAGAGCGGTGCATCGCGGCCCGCTGAAGCACCGCACGGCTTTGGGCATTGCCACGTCCTGAGGCAACGAACGTACGCATTCAGCCGACCCGCCTACTACGCACTCGGTTCAACCCTAAGTCGACAGCAGCGTAAAACGGGACCGATCAGCTGTCGGCCTTGCACCCCGTGGCAGCAACATCCGACCACATCCGCCGTGCATAAGCACGGCGGATGTGGTCCCGCGATGTTAGGTCGGAAGCTGATTTGTCCCGTCAGGGCGCGTAGCGATTGCCCTGCGCCGCTAACCTAGGGAAGAAGTGAGGTATAAACACCTTATAGGGAATATAAGACTTCGCAGAGATATCAAGCATCTACTGCCTCGCTGCATTGGTGTTGAAACGTACGCTGAAATTTTGGACAAGAGATAATATGTTGGCGTTTTATATGGGGCGAATGCACGGGCTATACGTCAATGTCTAGGCCTGTTAACGATTAAAGGTTTTTGTGCTGCATGATTTCGTGTGGGAGGTCGTACTTGAACCAGGATAGGCTGAACGGCGACGATAGGCTGAACATTTAGTTTTGCATTTGATTCATCTCTTGACATCGATGTTATCAACAGTGTCCAATCAGTGTCCAATCACAGCACCGCGTTGACCTCCTCTAGGTGGCGTAGACACTACAGCACTACAGACTCGTTATGTCGGAGATGTTGCCCTACCGAGACAGCACTAACGGTCCGCCCAGGAGTGTGTACTGCCAATACTCTAATGCCTCAGACGAAGTGAAAGCCCGTGACATGGGCCGACCCGTGCGGTGCTCCAGCGCACTGATTGTCGCCGGCGTGCTCGTAAAGCGGCGAGCTCACATCTCTCGGAGGTTCGCGGTCGTGATCGCCACCGCCGCCGGTTACCATAGCACCGGGTGAGAGTCCTCCCAGAGCGCAGGAGTCCCACGGCCCGGAGCCCGGGCCCCGCTGTCAGAGCGACAGCCCTCGCAGGCCCGGGTAGTAGAAGGACGTCTTGAGGTCCAGGCCCGACGCGGAGAAGGGAGGCGACACGAAGGCGTCGGTGGCGAAGGCGTCGCCGGCGACGGCGGGGCCCGAGTGCATGGCGTTGGGTCCCGGCGGACCCGTGGCCCAGCCCTGGGTGGACGGGGCGCACACCCGCCAGTCGTCGACGGGCGCCGGCTGCATGGCCGCCTGGACCACGCCGCCGCCTCCTGGGCCGGCGCCGTAGTCTGGGCTGCCCAGCATGTTCAGCATCTGCGGCGTGCACCGCACAGGGGAATGACTAGGGCTCCCACGTCTACTACATGCACACCAAGGAGAAATTATATTAAACGCGCTCTATTCGGGCCTACTGCGGTTCATCACACGCCCATATCATCAAAACACGTTAAAAAAAAAACAACAAAAAAAAAACCGGACATTTACACACAACGTTTGGGACGATCTGCGTGGTTGTCTGTATTTTTATTTTTTTCCCAGTTTAAGATTTATTATTATGGAGTTAAATCACGAGCTAACCAGTGTTTTTTTTTTTTCCCGCTTTCAACGTTTTATCGAAGCTTAGTTCGGAGAAAGCGGAGACTCAATTTGGAGAGGCGCTGTTCATCGAGAGCTTTCTGTTTAGCGAATCCCTTCGGTCGGCATAAGCAGATCTAGAAGCCGCCAAAGGCTAGAACGTAATTCACTGAGGCGCGTTTACCAACGTTTCGGGCTCCTCCTACTCTCCTTCCCCCTGTAAACTGGACGGAACGTAAGAAAATTGCCTGCGAAAACAGGAGGGTTTTGACGTGCACGAAAACTTGTCAACCGTACTTAGAATACTCTGCCAGCTGCTTCGCTGACTGGGTCGTCTTTACCATACGCTGAGGCAGAGAACGGTGGAACGAGCAAACTTTGGAGTGAGCAGCCGACTTCGGTGAATTGTGTTTCTATAAAAACAAATTCTCTAAAAGGAGGCCCTATGAACTATGAAGGGGTTCGACAAACAGGGTCTCTAAACCAGCGTTCGATAAAACGGGCTTCGGTAAAATGGATGCATCCGGCTATATTCTAGCCTTAGTGAGAGAACTGCTTTTGGTCCCTAATAGAACCGTTTTAAAAGTTGGCGCCATATACCGTATTGACTCGAGTAATAGCCGCACTGTTTATGAAGAAAACCTGAGGGTTCGCTTTTCCGCGGAGCACGCGGACTGCCAATCACCGCGATCGACAGCACGATTCCAGCTGTTTACAGGACAGAGATGACGTCCTCGCGCGAAGATACCATCTGTGAAGATTGCATTTGTATGGAGAATCGTGTTCTCGACCTAGTTATTCGCTATATTATTTATGCGCAACGCGATGATCGGCTGTATATGTGCTTTGCGGAAAAGTAGACGCAAGGGCCTTGTTCATAAATAGTGCGGCTATTACTCAGGTAAATACGGTAGCAGCTGCTGCGCCCAGAATCCGAGACCGCCATTGTTTGGACACGCATTTTGAGTCTGCATAGGTACAAGGCAACGTTACTAGAATAGCTCAGTCACGCAACTGTGAATAGACGTTGCTTCCACGAGCAGTACCCACCCCCTCTTCCCCCACGGCTTGTCTCCCGTCGTTCGATGCGCCACCGTTCTGAGGACGGCTGCTATCGGAACTGCAGTGTTCGGTGGAATATATATGTTTCGAAGCACAGCGTCTATATGGCGTTCCACCATATACTCTATGAAACACACAGTTTTGAAACAAAAATCTAGATGGCGCTGCAAACGATGGGTCAAACGAGGTCAGTTGTGGAACTCCCGCGAAGGGGGGGGGGGGGGGGTGCACTGCGGGAGTTCCACAACTGACCTCGTCGTTTGACCCATCATTTGAAGCGTCAAAACTGTGTGTTGTTCGGGTGAGGACTCGGATCTAATCACGCGTTTCGTTGCCTAGAGATGACGACAGTCAATGTTGTAAATGTTGCTAGATGGGGTTCCGAAAAGAACGGTGAGCTCTGGAGTATGATGTAAAGCTTAACGATATATACTTTTATCAGATGTATTTATTTCACAGTATTTATGTTACCCCTGTCTTCCAGCACAATGATCAGTTAGCCCGAACTCGCGACACACGAAAGCTCATTCTTCGCGATCGGCATGTTGATAGGCAAGATCACTCGCCTCCGTGTTATTGTTGTTCTCGCTTAAATGGGCTTAAATAGGAAATTTTGAAATTTAACAATTTGGTTTGCTGCATTGATGAAATTTCGGAACGTAATACGACCTATCTTTGTATGCTCGGAGGAAATAGGGAAGGTGCCATAGCTTTTGACTATATCTGTAAAATCACTATGACCTAACTCGTCGGCGCTGCCTCGTAAATTTTTGGGACTGCGACAGTAATATAACAGTCCTTGCGCTATTCGTATGGCACAACTTACAGCGTTTTCAAGGTCAGTCTCCGGATCAACTTTCAAAACTCCATCCTACATCAATAATCACTCATTGAAATCTCCGTTTCCGTGTCTGATAGTCCCTCCAATAGATCATGAGAGCTTAATTTTTTAAGATTTAACCTATTCAGAGATGCGCGACTCACAAGGTCCTCTTCTTACTCAGCTTCAGGCTTCTGTCACTAGATGGCGTAGCAATAGTCGGAGTTGCGAAAAAAAGCGCGATTCCCTCAAAACCTTCAAATCGCCGTCGGCTTGTTTTGTCCGATTCCTCCATCCTAGCCTACATCGGATGTTTAGTCTGGGCGGGGGGACATGTGTGGAAAATGTGTGAATTGCACAGATACGGTATTCTTATATCTCCTCAGCCAGAAGACGATTGGGCTGTTTTTCTTTCTTGATCGGATCCTGTTGGGCCGAGTTTTTGCCTCCCCTATAAAACTGACATTGACATCAATTTTGCGCCCGACTTAACTAATGGCGTCATCAAGAACCACGGGGGTCGTACAATGGGCAAACAGAAGAGCCAGCTTTAGTTGCCAAGATAATGAGGTTCAGTCTTTGCGGGAGCACATTAGTTGGTGGCGAATCCAGAGACCCTTAGCGCTACATCACGACTCCGGCATTTTTGTGCCCTAACCACCCACAGTTTCGTTACACGGAGACTTTTAATTATTTACGGTGCAGCTCACCTGAGACTTGAGGGGCTGTGGCGGTGCTCCGTACGAAGGGTCGGCGTAGGCGGACCGAGACTCTGCCACGCTCCCTCCGGGCCCCATCTGTTGCACGCTGCCTTCTGAAATCAGAGAGAAAACAACGTTTTGACCTCGGTGTAACCAAGTCGAAAATTATAAACCCTCAATAATAATTCGCCCCCTCCCCCCCCCCCCCCCCCCAAAAAAAAAAAAAAAGAAGAAAACATTAAAAGCACTAAAGTTCTGGCTCCGAGCAAGAATGACTTTTTAACGCAATCTACTGCTACACTTAATCTAAAGACAGTACAATGAATGAAAAAGCCTGTATCGCTCAGATCGCTTTCATGCACAGAACAATGTAAACTGCATAACTGCATTGTTACCACGTTAGGTGCGCTGCCGTGCCATACCTGGCGAAGTACACTTCCGTTGTTCCGATTTTTAGTGCAAAATGTGGTGGCAGGTCGACGTTTCAGTGGCTTTGCAAAAAATTATTACTAGTATTTGCTTTTACAATAGAGGTATCTGAATTGTTTGATGTCGCTTGGAACTTCCAGCAGCCAGTGTCGAAATTTAGAATTTGATATAAACCATATGTTTTGTGAATTCTTCTGGATAGTTCGCTGGCATATTTCATCTGTCAAATTAGTTGAAAGCATATTTCAAGGCTTGCCATTGTAACTCCGCAACGTAGTCAAACGCACTCACACGCAACCATGTGTGTAGGGGCCTTAATATCTCGATGGCGTCCCAGCGTAGGTGTCGACCCTAGGACTCTACCTTATGATATAAAGATTAAGCTATTTATGATTGATAAATGAAAACTCGAGAGCATTTAGACCACCAGAAGAAAACGCCAACATAACCGAAAAAGCGCAAAAAAAAAAAAAGAAAAAAAAAAGTCCCGTCGTTAGCAGAACGACAATTTGTCCCGTTAGATAATTCAGAAAACCGTTAAATTTAACGGGAAAAAAAACACTAAATTTACAACACTCGTTCTGGTGTTACCCCGCAGTAGAACACAGTGCGAAAATATCTATACTCTGTTTAGCCTTAGGGGTACTCCGGCGAATTTTCCGAGCTACCCCAACTAACTATATTTTTGGCCTCACCGGCCTCTACCCTTTCCGGTACTCTATTTAGTATCGCAAAATTGAGAACAGTTAAGGCCGGTTCTCACATGCAGCGGAGCGCTGATGTAGCGCTTCTCACGTGCCGTCAGCTACTTATCGTCTGCCATGAGCAACAGTTTTGACGGTGCGATACAAAGCTGGTGAACGCTCCCGTCAGCACGCGCTTAGCGCGAGGTAAGCGCTATGCTTGTAGCGCTCCGCTGCATGTGTGAACAGGCCTTTATTGTGAAATCGGCAAGTGAAAATGATGCCAAAACGAACATTCAAATATACTCGCGCTTTTCAGTGACGTGGCGTTAGGAGAAGGCAGGCTTGCAGGTCGAGCGGGCATTTTGAGAAATGGACTATGCCGAGCATTTGTTTCATGCAGCTGCGCGCGTGCTGGATCGAGCTTCCAAAACATTTATTTGACACTAGGAAACTGCTTGTAATCAGTTGGGAAGAAAGGCTACAGCCCTGCCTTTCCCTGATGTCACTTATATTTTCATTGTTGTCAGTAGAGACTTTTATTTTGAAAGAACACGGTGATGGCCAAAATTGTAAATTCAATAACTTCGCGAAGAAAATTATTTCGGCCCAATATTTGGGTTACTATTCCAGCGATGTTTGTTGGTGCGTTTAGCAAATCTTCAGGCAAATCGGTGACTATGAAGAAAATACCGGAATAGCCCTTTAAGCTGAGACCGCAGTCAATGCCACAAGCACGAGAGCTCGATGTCGCTGCTTTGGAGTGTTCGTCCGCAAAACGAGCACTCGCGCTAGAAACGCACGTCTCAAAATTAAGGGCGCGGGCTAGCTCGCGCTTGTAGCTTTGGCGGCAGTCTAAGCTGAGGGGTGAACACAGCATGGCCTACAATATTTTCGCGCGCTCTACACAATCATGTCCAAATCCTGGGCTGCCCAGCACAAAAAGCGAACCGAGCCAGTTCTCTAGGTATCCGCATGAGGCGCTCATAACCAAACCAGAAACGGAAGAAGAATTTTTTCAAAACAAGCTGTCAAATTACAGCCCGCGGCGTAAAGCTTGTATTTTAATTTTTCTATCTTCAGAATAGAGACAGGTAAGTCGTTCTTCGCTGATTTGTGAAGTTTATTTGCTGCTCATCTCCTTGCGCTGCTTCGCTGGGTTATACCTCAGAATGCATGAGATTTAGTGCGAGTTTATACTTGCCCCCTGCTGATACTGTCCGGGCCGGCGGGCAGGAATAGAAATAATTTTGTCATCATGCATGAGAACAGCTTTCTGAACTTCACTTACGTGCTCGGACGTTTGTTCTACACTTTTCGCGCTTCAAAAAGATAAACCTTCAAATCTCGATCAACTTTTTCCTTGTCAAAGGTTTATGTGTTGCGGCGAGAGGCGGGGAGCATATTTCTCGCTGCTCCCAAGTTCCGTAGACCTACGAAGAATATAATTAGCGACTATTTCTTTGTGATGTTTGGTTTGGTTTGGTTGCGAGCGCGCCACCAAATGCCCCACAGTAACAGTCTCTACCGGCGAATGCAACGACCCGAGGAGTGCAGTCAGCGCGCGAAAAATCTCGGAGGCCATGAACAGAGTATATTAGCTATGTGCGAGACCAAAAGCGTCGCTGTGATCGGCTTTCCGCGATTGGCCAAATGACGGGCTTAAGGTCATTGTCAGACTGTCAACTTGGACGGTGTTTAAGAACGCGATGACTCCTAGTTTTCACCGTGCGTTTTACACACACCATCAAGCTTGCCGTCGCAATTGAATAAGTCGTCAAGTTCACGACTCCTGACGTCACGGCGAGGCCAATCCTGGTCATGACGTCACGGATGTAAACCGTAAGATGGCGCCACCGAAACATCTCGGAGCTAATGCTCAGTTTCCTCGCAAGTGATAATATTAACAATATCGGCACATCGGTAGTTTACCCCCAGTTTCGGTAAAAAAAAAAAGACCTAGTCCACAATGCGAGCTAGAAACATCCTTTATGTGTAAGGCTCATAAAAAATTCACGTTCCGCCCATTAAAAACAATAAAAGTGACGAAAGAGCCCAAGTGCGCACCTGGTCTCGCCACCTCGCCGTCTCCTTCCGCACGATAAAGTCCGTCTCATATGGTCAGCCTTAAGCGTCACGTGACGTATATTTTCCCGCTAATTTTAGCGGGGAAACTGAATTGTTGTATAGGTCACGTGACATCAGGTGACCAGAAGTCGACTTCCCCCACTAAATTTAGCGGGAAACTGGACTGGTGTCTACGTCACGTAACGTTAATTTGTCCGCTATATTTAGCGGGGAAATTGAATTGGTGTGTAGGCCACGTGAGTACCGTTTCCCCGTCATATTTAGCGGAGACATTGCTTTTAGGCCACTTAAATTTACCCGCTAAATTTAGCGGGGAAACTAGATATACGTTACGTATAGGTAACGTGCCGTCGATTTCCCCCAATGTGAATAGTTGACGTGACGTCACTTTCCCCGCGGAAAAAGCACGGACGGACAAAGGGACAAAGTTTTGAGGGGTTCCGCTAAAAAGCATTACAAAATTCAAGAAGTCTCGTAAACTATTTATAATTATTCTTGCGCGCGCATAGTTGAAAAGATGATTAGTGTGTGAAACTCAAACAATTCTGGATCTATATCTCGAAAACCAACCTTGCTAGAGTTTTAATGTCCGACTTAGTGACAAAGCACGGCACGGTTAACACGAACAAACCATCGCTATTTTTCTGTGTTCTTCTTTTAAATTTAGGTGTCGAAGCTAATAGTGTGAAGGGAGTTCTCATGTGACCCCAATTAAAGTGGTAAAATCTTGTACCCGGCTCAGTAAAATTTTAAAAAAAGTCGCCTATGTAATTTTTTATGTGTTCACAGTTTCGCACATGAATCATCCATGTGACCGGGCAAACAGTAATGACAAAGAAGAAATACGGCTTTTGCCGTACGTGGAGTTGCAGCTATTGACCACGAAAACATTTCCATCGTGTATTAATGCTTGTTTAGTTTGCAGTAGAGAATGCTTAGAGGTCAATGTCTTTATATGTCTCTCTCGCGTGGCGCAGCTCAATTACCTCAATCTAAAGCAATTAGTGTTGTTCCCATGCATCCTGTCCGTTGGAGAATTTTAGATGATAGGTTTTCAGCAACGATGTCGAAACACTCTAAAAAGAGCTCTGCGAGTTTTTCTCCTCTCAGAACACGGAGATAGCCAATCACAAAGAACTAAAAAATAATTTCAGTGAACTATAAAGTCCAGAATACGATTAGTAACGAAAAATTCGATATTGAGCAAATGAAACGGCATGCCCAATGTCCCTGTTGTACACGTAACATTTTTTTAGGTCGAATGGTATTTTGAGTTTCGCCATTTGCTAGGATTCTTGTATTTTTCGTCATGATTGGCTGTTCCCCTGAACTTTGAACCCCTAAAAACGTGTGAAAAATTCACAGATTTTTTTAGACAGAATCTTATACAATATCACGAACTCGATCGGTTATTGCAACGATTACGAAAATTCCCTTCTATACACCAATACAGTGTTTACAACAAGCCAGCTTTGCCCACAACAAGTGTGAGCACCGCGCTTGCTCAGAAACCAAATTCGGGAGGAGTGAAGCCTTTGCGCATGCGCAGTACCGACAGCAGCGCCACCACACTTGCGTGACGTCAGTGAGTTGAGTTTGTCTATACTCCACAGTATGTTTCACCGCAACCTGGCGAAGAGCGAAAGCTACGGCTCCTTGGAGTCAATCAGAAAGACGGAGGCGTGGCGCGTGGCAACCTTTACCAAGGGTACAGGGGCGAGAGCACAACGCAAGCGGCGCCAGCTGTCGGAGAAGAAGAAAAGGAGGAGCTCCCTCGGACCTTGTTCAGACAGTCCCAGCATGAACGTTGACTTTTTCCTTTTAGAAGATTATCCCGTCACTCAAAACTCGCACAACAGCGGCTTTTCACTCTTTCGATCCCACCCGTGACTTTGACAGCACTGCGTGCAACT